ATTTTGTGTGCGCCGGCGTACAGGGTTTGAAAAGCAGAAATGTAATTACTGTCTGCTCCGAATTTCAACTGTAGTGGTTTTCCAGGTAAGTTCTCTCCGTTGACAGTGAGACCCATGGTTGTGATATCGTAATTTTTAAAGTTGAACGGGTTCTTCGTATATGTACTGTTAAAGGCATCCGCGTCGACCATTCCAATCACGATACGATTTGGTAAACCACCTTGAAATATATTAGGTTGATTTCCAGACATATTCCCCCGAGGTACGGAGACAACTTTGCAGTCGATCCTGTTGATTGGGTACTTGGCAGTGATTTGTTGAAGGGACTGGGAATGAGCCAGTATAATACTAGGGGCTACGTTAACTCGTCGTACGCAAAACAAACATTCCTCGATGACCACTTTGAAATTGGGATCTTCTGCGGATGACACCAAACAAAACGGATCTCTAGATCTCACCAGCTTGATCTTGATTGGAACAGCACCAAGAATATAACGGTCTTGCGCGAATAGATCAGAATGAAGTCTTCCTTCCATGGCGACAGATTTGCTTTCACGTGTATATGCATGGCGTTGTTTTAATCCCGTGTTGACGTTAGCATCTTGTGCGAGAGGGTTTACTACATCCATTTTTCCAGCTTTATCTTTATAGAACAGTGCTGAGGTCAAATGTGAATCTTTGGCATCTTTACTAAAGTTCAGGATCGTTTCGATATACGCTCGGTAAGGGTATGCTGTGCTTGATGGGGTGACCAGTTTGTTGTTCAGAAATACTTCAACTTGTGAGAATAATGCATGCATCCAAAGGTTTGAAGGTCCAACTTGAATGTCTGCACCCACATTTCCTCCGGCCGCAGTAGCGATCTTTGCTTTAACGTATAGGTAACTGCTTGCTAAGTCGGTATAAACACCAGAATTTGCAGCACATAAAAATTCTATCGTATCTGAAGAAGATATACTCGTAATAGGATCAACAGCTTCCCAAAATCCCTTTTCCATTACCACTTGAGTCGGTGGAATAGAAAATAGATCAAGTTCAGATTTTGAACACATACAAGAGTCTTTATGCATTGTTTCAAGAGCCATGCCACTTTGGACTATAGTTATCGAGAGATGTTTTCTGCTTCTTGGTTGGACCGCGAATGGGAGTTTTAGTTGGCGCTGCTCTTTTTATACCCTTTTTGCGACCCTGTCCGGTCATTACTTTCTTGGCAACATCAGATGCTGCTTGTTTTCCTCGTGATTTAAAAGCTTCTTTTACATTTTTTCCTTGGAGTACATCTTGACCGACTTCTGTGGCTGCTTGCAATGCTCTTTTACCAACAACTTTAGCACCTTGCTTGAACAGAGGGATAGCATATCTCGCAAGGCTCTTAAAAATACTTCCGATTCCATATCCCCTTTGCATACGTGCACCACGAAACCCTGCGATATTCCCACCACGTTGTTGTCTCAAAAAATGGTCTTTCAATAGTTTAGCATCCACAACTAGTCGTCCGCGCATTTTTAGATAAAGTACTGAGATCTCCTCTGTCTAAAGTGAAGTGTTGCGATTGACTTCCCGAACTCAAATGAGATGTTTTCGTTTTGGTCATTCTTTATATTCACTTCGATGGTCTCAAAAGAATTTACTTTGACCGGTACGTATTGCAAATTACGAAAACTGGCGTGAACGGTGTTTCCATATTCCCCTTCGATATTAACGATTCGTAGTAAAGGAACTTTCACATCGCCCACAAACTGTGCATCAACGATATCAGTATAGACATACATGGAGGAAAATCCACCATTGATATCTGCAGCATAGGGACTCGACGTTTTCTTTTCAATAAGTGTGTCCTGGTCAAATCCCAAGACCGTTGCTAATTCTCCGGTAAACCACACAGTTGTGTCGTGTTTTACATCAATCAAAACTTTGCGAGAACTACGATTATAACTAAACTTTACTTTCGTCTGTGTTTCTTTCGACATGCCGGCATTGAGTGTTTTTGTTAGTTGGTCGATAGAAGAATATCGTGTTTCTTTAAGCACGACAGTTTGATAAGGGCTACTGCCAGTTTTATACAAAAACGTTTGTTGCACTCCACGTCTTAGCGTGCTCCACGTATGGGGGTAGTGCATTTCCGTCAATGCGACTTCCCATTGTCCTGGCAATACAATGGTTTCAGCCAATTTCACTCGAAAATTCGCTACCGTATTATTTGGAAAATAGGCTAACGAACTATTACTCGGTAGCGTGAGATAAAACTGTGTTGCCATATTGAAGACCAATACACAAATGAACACAACTGATAAGTTTCAAATACATTTATTTAATATCTTTTACACTCTCTGCTGGTACCCAAGAATTAAATTTATCGGGGTAACCCAACCATTTTACAAAATACTCTTTACGTTTATTACGCATGCGTGATCTAAGTACTTCTTCGACTCTATAAAAATCACTGTCTGATTTATTCACTCTCTGAAGCTCTTGTTCGTAAAATGTTCCTTTCAATTCTTCGTCATCAAAATCAGCGATCTTGTACACGGGTGGGCGTCGAAGAACACGTTTGGTTATCGTAAATACTTCCTCGGTCCAATTAGGTAAGTATCCTTTCTTAAATGTGCGCCTTGCTTTGCTGATTCGTACTTGGTCTCCAATGTTAAACTTGAACCGAACGGATTTGTCTGACTCTTCTCCATAAAGTTTTTGCCACACAATGCTCTCGTTGTCTTCATTTACATCAACAGGCCTCATGCCAATACTACGATGTCTCGAATGATTATAAGATTTGACCAGTTTCTGGAGAATGTCCACGTACTTGAGCGTATTCTTCGCTGTAAAGTATTTCCACATTTTCGTCTTGAGCGTACGATTAAACCTTTCGACAATCGATGCCTTGGTCTCGTTTTGCGTCGTGAAAAACCGGATGTTATGTTTCTTCAAAAAGGCTTGAAACTTTCGATTCATAAACTCTGTCCCTTTGTCGCTGTGAAACGTTTCAGGCTTTCGACCTTTTTTAAGTATTTTCTCAAAGGCTTTGACAAGATTTTCTCCAGTCTTTGTTTTTATCGGTTCAGCCCACGCATATTTGCTAAGTACATCGATTACAGTTAAAATGTACTTAAAGCCGTTATTGTATTTGCTTATCGAGTCCATAATCACAAGATCCGCCTCCCACTGCTCGTCAATTGCGCCTACAATAACACGGTTCCTTTTGAAACGATATCTTACAGATTTATGTAAAGTATACGTGTCTTGCTTTTGTAGCCATAGCCGTATTTTATTCCGCGATATCTGATGTTTGCCTTCGTCTTTTACGACACGGTAAATTGAATCTATGCCACCAAAGCTTGCGGGACTTTCTGGATTGTAATAGATTTGGCTCAGGTACTTTTCTGCCATCAATGTCTGAGGCTTGAATTACAATTTTCCCTCCACAGCAAGCGGAAATACAACGCACTTTCCGAAAGATATCTCGGAGGGAAATTTCTGGAAGACTTTTACCACAACAGGGCATCCTTTCACCTCAGAGGTTAGAACGAAATGAACCATGCAGCAATCATAGACTAACATATAAAGCTATTAGTGTAAGTGAGAGCGCTATTAAAATTGGTGGTTTATTATTCCTCTTCGCTTTTGGGATATGAAAAGTTCGAAAGGCCTCAATAGTTTTTCGGACATGTTCTCGAACGCTTTCCTCGCTGCCACTTTGCACACAAACTAACGCTAAATAAGCAAAAATGCGACCAAAGTTTGTCATATTTATATCTCTGTAGACTTGGTCAAGGTTTAGACTATGAGCACCCACTGCACGATATAGATCTCGATGGTGGTTGAGAATTGCATTTATATGAAACGATAAAGTCTGCTTATCGATATCGATTTCATTTTGTCTCAACTCGTCAAAAATTATATTTATATTATTCATCTCACCAGAGAACCTCTCCCCATAAAGGTTAAAACCCAAATGAGAAATGTAAGTGATTTATCTCAATAACATACATAACACATTCATGATGATAAAAACAATTTATTTCGTTTTATTACAGTTATTCATATTTCTTAAGGAATTCTTCATACGCTTCCTTAGCATTAATGTTAGTACTAGTGAATGTTTCTCCCGTGTCTTCATTCTTGTATCGATATTCTAGCGGGTCACTGAATAGGACGAAGCCAGTCTTGGCCACACGAGGTTCGATCTCTTTCCATTCGAAAAATCCACAGCTGTCTATCTGAGGGCAACAGTAAAACAGCCGGTTCTGGGTGGGTCCTTCTTTTTTCACTTTACGTACGGTACATACCATCCCGTGTTTGCAGCGTGGTCGAGGGCTTTCGTAAATGTCTCCCCATTGCCAAAAGTTGCAAGGATCATGTCGATCAGAACACGTGAAGAAGGGTCTTCCATAATTTTCTTTCATTTTATCTTTTACCACACGTAATTTGGCTAGTCTCTGATGTGTTGGGCAAATGGGATGATTGGAACCACTATTCTGACAGGCTTCCATTGCTCTCGTAAACAGATAACAGTCTTCGTCATGGCAAAAGAACTCGCAGCTCGGTGTTTCGGCACAAAACCAAAACGTACCACGAGCAGTTGTAGAACAAGCGGCTGGTTTACCGTGAAAACATTCCATCGTGAGCGTTCAATACAGACTATGCAGGTGAAAGGACACTAGCTGTATTTATAGTGATGTTACTGTATTGTAATGCTAATTGATCGCGTTGCCTGTCACGTTTGGCCCAGGCCTGCCCGCGTTAATTTGTCGCGCTACCTGTCACAGTTGGCCCAGGCCTGCCCGCGTTAATTGGTCGCGCTACCTGGCGTCATAGATTTTGCATGCTCATTATAAAATCCGCCAGATTGTTAGCTGAACAAAGTGACGTCATAGACTTTGCATACTAATTAATTTCGACACCTAAGTTTGCATACTAATTACTTCCGCCGCCAAATTAGACCTGCATACTAATTACTTCCGCCGCCAGATGGGGGGGGTATCACTACTCATGTGGATATGTGCCGTTAGCAGGATTGGAACCTGGGTTATTCCGGCCACAACGCAATGTACTGACCGCTATACGATCACGGCAACTGAACAAATTTGTCGTCTTTGATATTTAAATATATAAAAATTTCGTGCCAATCAGATGTACCACTAAATTAAACACATGGTTGAGCGAACCTTCCCACTCAAACCTACAAGCACGGCTTGCTGGTCTAGTGGTATGATTCTCGCTTTGGGTGCGAGAAGTCACGGGTTCGATTCCCGTGCAAGCCCAAAATGTACCGAATTTTTTAGCCGAACGCGCTAACCGATTGCGCTATGGAGACGACAAGTGTTTCAGTATTCACCTGAAATAATTTCAGCACAAGGCGAGTGCTATTGGTTGCAGAGGAACTAGCAACACTGGTCTTCTCTTTCTAATGTGCTGAAACCTGTATCGTTGCACAAAATGACGTCAGTGTCCAATAAGCTTGTAACTGAAACGCTATAATTTTTCGTCGATATGTGCCGTGACCAGGATTGGAATCTGGGTTATTTCGGCTACAACACAATGTACTGACTACTATACGATCACGGCAACTGTAACAAATTTGTCGTCTTTGATATTTAAATATATAAAAATTTCGTGCCATCAGATGTACCGCTAAATTAAGCACATGGTTGAGCGAACCTTCCCACTCAAACCTACCAGCACGGCTTGCTGGTCTAGTGGTATGATTCTCGCTTTGGGTGCGAGAGGTCACGGGTTCGATTCCCGTGCAAGCCCAAAATGTCACGAATTTTCTGTTTCAAACATGTACTCGAGATTTTCAAAAAAAATTTGTTTTTTTCGTAGTTCCGAGTACTCTTCAAAATGGTAAGAAGCCTGTCCCCAGATGGACTTGAACCATCGACCTTTCGGTTAACAGCCGAACGCGCTAACCGATTGCGCCATGGAGACGACAAGTGTTTGAGTATTCACCTCAAATAATTTCAGTACAAGGCGAACTGCTATTGCTTGCCCAGGAACTAGCAACACTGTTCTTCTCTTTCTAGTGTACTGAAACCTGTATCGTTTCACAAAATGACGACGATGTCTAATAGGCTTGGAATTGAAATGTTCTAATTTTTCTTGAAGCAGACAGTTAGTTGATGCAATCATGTGGATATGTGCCGTGACCAGGATTCGAACCTTGGTTATTGCAGCCACAACGCAATGTACTGACCACTATACGATCACGGCAACTGTAACAAATTTGTCGTCTTTGATATGTAAATATATAAAAATTTCGTGCCATCAGATGTACCGCTAAATTAAGCACATGGTTGAGCGAACCTTCCCACTCAAACCTACAAGCACGGCTTGCTGGTCTAGTGGTATGATTCTCGCTTTGGGTGCGAGAGGTCACGGGTTCGATTCCCGTGCAAGCCCAAAATGTCCCGAATTTTTTAGCCGAACGCGCTAACCGATTGCGCTATGGAGACGACAAGTGTTTCAGTATTCACCTGAAATAATTTCAGCACAAGGCGAGTGCTATTGGTTGCAGAGGAACTAGCACCACTGCTCTTCTCTTTCTAATGTGCTGAAACCTGTGTCGTTGCACAAAATGACGTCAGTGTCCAATAAGCTTGTAATTGAAACGCTATAATTTTTCTTCGATATGTGCCGTGACCAGGAGTGGAACCTGGGTTATTTCGGCTACAACGCAATGTACTGACTACTATACGATCACGGCAACTGTAACAAATTTGTCGTCTTTGATATTTAAATATATAAAAATTTCGTGCCATCAGATGTAGCGCTAAATTAAGCACATGGTTGAGCGAACCTTCCCATTCAAACCTACCAGCACGGCTTGCTGGTCTAGTGGTATGATTCTCGCTTTGGGTGCGAGAGGTCACGGGTTCGATTCCCGTGCAAGCCCAAAATGTCACGAATTTTCTGTTTCAAACATGTACTTGAGATTTTGAAAAAAGTTTGTTTTTTCGTAGATCCGAGTACTCTTCAAAATGGTAAGAAGCCTGTCCCCAGATGGACTTGAACCATCGACCTTTCGGTTAACAGCCGAACGCGCTAACCGATTGCGCCATGTAGACGACAAGTGTTTGAGTATTCACCTCAAATAATTTCAGTACAAGGCGAACTGGTATTGCTTGCAGAGGAACTAGCAACACTGGTCTTCTCTTTCTAGTGTACTGAAACCTGTATCGTTTCAAAAAATGGCGACAGTGTCCAATAGGCTTGGTATTGAAATGTTCTAATTTTTTTTGACGCAGACACTTAGTTGATGGAATCATGTGGATATGTGCCGTGACCAGGATTCGAACCTGGGTTATTGCGGCCACAACGCAATGTACTGACCACTATACGATCACGGCAACTGAACAAATTTGTCGTCTTTGATATTTAAATATATAAAAATTTCCTGCCAATCAGATGTACCACTAAATTAAGCACATGGTTGAGCGAACCTTCCCACTCAAACCTACCAGCACGGCTTGCTGGTCTAGTGGTATGATTCTCGCTTTGGGTGCGTGAGGTCACGGGTTCGATTCCCGTGCAAGCCCAAAATGTCACGAATTTTCTGTTTCAAACATGTACTTGAGAGTTTGAAAAAAGTCGGGTTTTTTTCGTAGTTCCGAGTACTCTTCAAAATGGTAAGAAGCACGTCCCCAGATGGACTTGAACCATCAACCTTTCGGTTAACAGCCGAACGCGCTAACTGATTGCGCCATGGAGACGACATGTGTTTGACTGTTCACCTCTAATAATTTCAGTACAAGGCGAACTGCTATTGCTTGCAGAGGAACTAGCAACACTGGTCTTCTCTTTCTAGTGTACTGAAACCTGTATCGTTTCACAAAATGACGACACTGTCCAATAGGCTTGGAATTGAAATGTTCTAATTTTTGTTGAAGCAGACACTTAGTTGATGCAATCATGTGGATATGTGCCGTGATCAGGATTCGAACCTGCATGGGTTATTGCGGCCACAACGCAATGTACTGACCACTATGCGATAACGGCAACTGAACCAATTTGTCGTTTTTGATATTTAAATATATAAAAATTTCCTGCCAATCAGATGTACCACTAAATTAAGCGCATGGTTGAGCGAACCTTCCCACTCAAACCTACAAACACGGCTTGCTGGTCTAGTGGTAAGATTCTCGCTTTGGGTGTGGGAGGTCACGGGTTCGATTCCCATGCAAGCTGAAAATGTCACGAATTTTCTGTTTCAAACATGTACTTGAGATTTTGAAGAAAGTTTGTTTTTTGTCGCAGTTCCGAGTACTCTTCAAAATGGTAAGAAGCGCGTCCCCAGATGGACTTGAACCGTCAACCTTTCGGTTAACAGCCGAACGCGCTGACCGATTGCGCCATGGAGACGACAAGTGTTTGAGTATTCACCTCAAATAATTTCAGTACAAGGCGAACTGCCATTGCTTGCAGAGGAACTAGCAAGACTGGTCTTCTCTTTCTAGTGTACTGAAACCTGTATCGTTTCACAAAATGACGACTCCGATGTCTAATAGGCTTGGAATTGAAATGTTCTAATTTTTCTTGAAGCAGACAGTTAGTTCATGCAATCATGCGGATATGTGCCGTGACCAGGATTCGAACCTGGGTTATTGCGGCCACAACGCAATGTACTGACCACTATACGATCACGGCAACTGAACAAATTTGTCGTCTTTGATATTTAAATATATAAAAATTTCGTGCCAATGAGATGTACCGCTAAATTAAGCACATGGTTGAGCGAACCTTCGCACTCAAACCTACAAGCACGGCTTGCTGGTCTAGTGGTATGATTCTCGCTTTGGGTGCGAGAGGTCACGGGTTCGATTCCCGTGCAAGCCCAAAATGTCCCGAATTTTCTGTTTCAAACATGTACTTGAGATTTTGAAAAAAGGTTGTTTTTTTCGTAGTTCCGAGTGCTCTTGAAAATGGTAAGAAGCCCGTCCCCAGATGGGCTTGAACCTTTCGGTTAACAGCCGAACGCGCTAACCGATTGCGCCATGGAGACGACAAGTGTTTGAGTATTCACCTCAAATAATTTCAGTACAAGGCGAACTGGTATTGCTTGCAGAGGAACTAGCAACACTGGTCTTCTATTTCTAGTGTACTGAAACCTGTATCGTTTCAAAAAATGGCGACAGTGTCCAATAGGCTTGGAGTTGAAATGTTCTAATTTTTCTTGAAGCAGACAGTTAGTTGATGCAATCATGTGGATATGTGCCGTGACCAGGATTCGAACCTGGGTTATTGCGGCCACAACGCAATGTTCTGACCACTATACGATCACGGCAACTGAACAAATTTGTCGTCTTTGATATTTAAATATATAAAAATTTCGTGCCAATCAGATGTACCGCTAAATTAAGCACATGGTTGAGCGAACCTTCCCACTCAAACCTACAAGCACGGCTTGCTGGTCTAGTGGTATGATTCTCGCTTTGGGTGCGAGAGGTCACGGGTTTTTCAAATTAAATCAACCAATTTTTCGTGAAGCAGATCTGCACTTAGTTCATGAAAACATATGAATATGTGCCGTGAGACGTGAAGAGGATTCGAACCTGGGTTATTGCGGCCACAACGCAATGTACTGACCACTATATACGTTCGCGGCGACCAAAGATTTTTGTTGTGTGTGATATTAAAATATATAAAAAATTTCCTGCCAATCAGATGCTCCACTGAATTAAGCACACGGGTGAGCGAACCTTCTCAGTCATCCCTACAAGCACGGCTAGCTGGTCTAGTGGTATGATTCTCGCTTTGGGTGCGAGAGGTCACGGGTTCGATTCCCGTGCAAAGCCCACAATGTCAAGAATTTTCTGTTTCAAACATGTACTTAACATTTTCGTAGTTCCGAGTACTCTTCAAAATTGTATGAAGCAAGTCCCCTACCATCGACCTTTCGGTCAACAGCCGAACGTGCTAACCGATTGCGCCACTTGAGCTTGTTTATTAAAAAGAACAACCGGCACAACGCCAACTGCTATTGCTTGCAGGAGGGAGCAACACTGGTCTTTTCTTTCTAGTGTACTTAAGCGTATATCTTTTCGCAAAACGGCGACCGAAACTGTTAACCAAAAAGTTGATAATGCGAGTTCACTCAGAGATATTCTTCGCTCTATTTGAGGATAAACCTTTTTGCCATATAGGATCAGTTTATAGGTGTCAAACGTTTTACCATATTTCTATAGATAAGTTAGAAAGTAGACAGCCATAATAAGATGAGGATATATACAACTAACAGCCTTGCGCTGAGATGATGACATGTCAACCTTAGGCTGTCTCGTTTGGAATGTCTATGGTAGTAATAAATGTACTGACTTCTTATAATAAGTAAATCTATCAATATATAGGGTTCATATTTCTAAACATATAGACAAATGAGCTATTAGTACGCTGGAAACAATTACACCAATAATGGATCTATAAATTATTATGAGATAACAGAAGTGAAAATTAGGGTTTTTTCACTGAAAAAACGGCTCATGTATCCGAATATCACCCAATCTCATACCCAGAGCCATCGTTGACTCAACGATGGCTCTGGGTACGAGATTGAATATCACCATAATTTTTGCATATATTCAGTTTTAATTAAATAACAAACTAGGATTTTCCATTGGTCGCTTTTGGAAAATAGTGAACGACATGCTGGTCTAATTATGTTGGAAATTCAAACACCTCAAATTACCTCAATTATATGACCTCAATTTTTACTTGCAATATCTGAAATGACTATCACCTTATATTTTTACATACGTACCTAATCTATAAGTGTATATAGTATTATAGGGGCACTCAATAAATGTATTATATACGAACAACAGAGTGTATACTTAAGCTTGTTTTTATAATCTACAGTAGATCTCGTATTCATTTGAAGTTCTGGGGCAGGTTGTACAAAGGCCGGATAGAGCTATCCACCGGATACTGTTTTTTTTCAACCGTTGTAAAACGCTATAAAATTGTGGATATGGACCTTACAATTAACAATAGGAAACTTTAATTTATGAAAACTAAAGTTTAATCTGCGTTATACCAATCAACGGCCTTGAAAACATCACTATCCGGTTGATAGCATTATCCAGCTTTCGTACAACCGACCCCTATATGATTATCGCGGTGGTAGCGTCCTTCTATTGATCAGAGATTCAAGTGGCAAGTTCTCTGCAAGTGCTTGCAAGCCATTGCGGTACAAGGTGGTTTATTCTGAGTTGGTTTAGTTCACAACGAGCGAGTTATTTTACATATGCTTACATAAGTAATTACAAGCAGAAAAGTATGAAAGTACCTACTCTCAAGTAGTCACTGACGACAATACATGCATAGTACGTACACACTATCTTCAGCCCTCAAAAGTGCAAGTAAGGAATTATTTTCGTGCAACTTTCTTCTGGTTTTGACCTCTTTCAGCCATTCGCCGCAGTATTATTTCGATGCTTCCGGGTAAAGGTCTCTCCTCAGGCACACCATGCCAACATGTTTCCATTATTTTCCAACCCTCTTCACTAAATTGCTGCAATCGTTCTGGGCGAGTTCCCTTTTTCACACAAGACCATAGTTGGTCTTTACTGGCACATTGTTCAAAATTGAGCGGCAAACGAACTTGACCAGAGCAGATATACCAAAAGAGAATACCAAATGCGTAGACGTCCACGCTGGCATCGTATTTTCCTGAAAACAATTCTGGTGCCATATGAATTGGTGTCCCCACAATTGAACCAGACATCATCGCCTCAGGTTTACAAAACCCAAGATCTGTTATCTTTGCTCGGTTTTCTTTGTCAAGCTGAAAGGCAAACAAATCGAAATTTAAGTTATACAGTTGAAAGAAATCACTTTATAGTAATACATACTTTGGCACAGATCATAGCTGTTCTAACTACATTGTACAGTAGGTTTGAAGGTAGGTTACGTATCATAGAGATTACAAAATAATAGAAGGAGCATTGCGGGATAAGTTTAGGGACTGAAAGTTTCTTATCTCTGGTGTAAGTCTTAGTACTGCATATGCAAACTCTGGCTTTTCAGCTCCGGCTCCGTTGGTTCATAACACATGCAGGGGATAAAGTCCATATAATGGTGCATATATTATTCCGCACAATTTTGTCCCCAAGGTAAGCTGATGTGATGCAGCGTATCAAAGAATGACGGTTGCGATCTACAACTTTTCCTGTGATACAGTAGATAGATCACAGACATGACTTATTGCAATTTGGCCGTTTGCAGTAGCCGAAAATGGCTTGAAACAACAGACATGATTTCAGATTATAGGCACTTTCAATTTTATTGCCATTATTTGTAACCAAAGCTACAGTAATTCTACGAAATTGTCAGATTTCTTGTCATTCTGACTTTGCAGTCGGAGATAGAAGAAAGCACCGCAAATCCGGCCAGTGTCGTGCTGGCCGAGGGGGTGGGGGTGCCCTCCTCTATTCTTCAATAATCTCTATACAGCAATTCGAAGAAATCATGACGACAGTCTTATCTAAACTGTAACACATAAAACACGGAAGCACTGAAAGTATTATTCCAGTTCTCCAGATCAGTGAAAACACAATACAGTTACAAGTACTTACCAACACATTCTTAAGTTTAATATCACGATGAATCAAACCCTGGCTGTGAAGAAATCGTATTCCTTGAATGACATCCAAAGCAATCTGGAGTCGTATTGAGAAATGTAAACCATTCTTCAAACCATGATGTAAATCACGAGTTAATCTGTTCATCACGAGCAACACAGCAGGACAACACCCACCGCCAGCGTAGGAGTAGTCAATGACGGAGCCAAGTAAACCAACAATACGATCATGTTGGGGCAAAGATCTGTGAAACATAATACATTTAAAAAAATACAAAACAAAACATACTTGAATAATAGCATATAATAACATTGAGTTAACAAGAAGAAGAAACGATATACGGTAATATTTCCATTTTATTTCAAAATCATTACCAAACTGATAATGATATAGTGTCTTCTTCTTGTTAACTCAAACCGTGAACGCAGAAGATGCTATTTTTCTGAGTGTGTTTTTGTTTTGTTTTGTTTTGTTTTGTTTTGTTTTGTTTTGTTTTGTTTTGTTTTGTTTTGTTTTGTTACCTCCGCCAGGAGGTTATGTAATCATCTGGGTTTGTATGTGTGTATGTGTGTATGTATGTATGTATGTGTGTATGTGTGTGTATGTGTGTTTGTCTGTGAGCACGATAACACAAGAAATACCAAACATATTCATACGAAATTTTTTGAATGCATTTCCCATCGGCTAAGGAAGAGTTGATTAAAATTTGGTTGAATTTGGTTAAAAATTGAACGAGAAATGACGAAAATTTTGTCTTGCTTTTCCCGGCAATTAAAAAAACTTACTGAATGCGTAATTAGGACGTGTATAATGTATGCACGCAGTACTAAGACAATAATGAGATGATAAACCTCATTAAGCTTCAGCCTTCATTATCTATTGTCTTAGTTGCATTTCACACGACCGAAATTCAATACGGGCGGAGGTATGCAGTCTCTGAGTGCCCTCTAGTTTTGTTTTGTGTTTTGTGACACACACTGTATCATAAAAGCTAAATCATGAAAATAAAAGCTCGAAACACGTCTGCAGAGGAGAGTACCAACCTGGTGTAACAGAATTCCATAGCAAGATCATTCCAGTGTTTGTCATCAGGAGGAACAACAGACTTCAAGGCACATGAACCAGCACCAGCCCACTTCTCACACGAATAAACGACACCATACTGACCACGCCCAATCTCACGACCCATCTGAGGCATACCGTAAAGAATAAGATCCCGCAAGGAAGTACTTTCCAGAACGAGTCGAGCAACTTTAGGTGCGTGCATCTTGCGTACTTTCAGACTTTGTGCTTCTGTTTTCTCCAGACGCCCACTGTGGTACAGAGCTATGATTTTCATGGACGCTGAAAAAGTATCATGGGAATTTCGTAGTCGTTGTTTGAACTGAGAACACAAGGTTTTGGCCAGCTTTGATTCACTGAGATTTGCAAGTAAATCCAGCGATACTTTCTTCTTCCATTCGACATCTACTTTGACAGGCGTTTTGCGAGGTAGCATGATCAACGCTTGTTGAATCTTTTCAAATAGATATCGAGCAAGATTGACCGTTCTTGTTGTGGCTTCCATTTGGTAAGCGGAATCTAAAATCTATTACAAGAAAAAACTACCTTAGTAACAATCCGCTAATATTAAAAGAATTTATGAAAGAATCTTAATTGTGAAAGGAGGTCAGGTAGCGTTTGATAGCTTGCGCGCAGTCTCACGACGTCGATGTCGAAAGCCGGTTAGCTTAATCCAACTTAACCCTAGGTTAATCTAAGATTTAAAGGAATTTTTTCAACAGCTTGTACAGTATATAAACTTGAGAATATTTTGAAGTTTTGCTTGGATCTATATTTATAAGAGTTTTCTTTCCTGTAGTTTCGAAATACACAAACTGAAATACACAAACTTAGACGTGCAGAAATACACAAACTTAGACCGCGAATAGTTGGGAGAAAGGAGGGACCGCCGACAACACAGCAAGAAACGAAATACGCCCACTTTTCTTGTCAAGTTGGCTCCGCCTTTGCATAAACATTACTTATATCCAATTAAATCTATCCAATAAGAACCGTTAATGTCATTTTTTATTTATAAAATCAACCATCAGTCCGGAAATTATTTATAGCATAACTACTACGCATCATTGACAGGCGTATCGATTTCGACCAATGGGAATTTTGCGTTGTGTGGGCAACGAGTATTTCGTTTCTTGATGAGTTGTCAGCAGTCCCTCCTTTCCTTTCGCATGCCCGGAAATATAAACCCGCGGAAATATAAACACGCTCGCAGTCTACACAAACTAAAAGTGAGGGTAAATGTTTAACTCATAGTTAGCTACAAATCCAGCTTTGAACAACCTGTCCCATTGAATGTAAGGATTATTAAAATGATCATGGATTAGCACAAACCTGTTTAAAAGCACTAACTGCATGGCTGTTTTCCTCTTTGCTCTTTTCTTCTTTGTCAAAACTTTCCAAACTTTCAATGCACCTTTGCAATGTCCCAAGAAAACTCTCCTTCAAACATCGAACTGAACTCATCAGCTTTAAGGCCAGATTTTTATTTAACTGCTTCAGTAGAAGATCTTGAAGTTGGTATGTGCATTTAGTAATATCACTTGAGTTTACAAGTTCATCACTGTCCGTCAATTCAACACCTACAAACTCCATAGCAGCGGCCTCTTCGACAAGTTTTGGTGTGAGTGAAGTAATAGTCAGGCGTATTTCTGCTTTGATTTCTTCTTGTTTTCGACTTGCACTGTCCATCATAGCATTGAACAGCTCCTCTTCTTTCTTCTTAGCATATACCAGTCTCTTGGGTGTAATAATCATGTCCCGTAGAAGGTCATACGCGGTTGCGATGAACATGCCTAAGATACGACTATGATGTTCATTTAATATAGAGGCTCCAACAAGCAGCTCGTATTGCAATACATCGTGTAGATAAGCTTCAAATTCCGAGAACTTTGAAATTCCGCTCATAAGCTTGCTTTTCGGCTTCAACCTTGAAATTTCAGACTTCTTCATGGTAAGATTTCCATTGTCTGCATTTTGAAGCGGTGTGTCTGCGAGAATCTCCACAGATAAAAATCCAAGATCACAAAGTTGTTGAGATAACTTATCACTTTGACAATTGTTTAAAGTCCCTGAGACGAATTCTCGGTCGGATTCTGTGGAGTCTTGCGTCTTCCGGTTGCATTTGGCAAAGAAAATACTGCGATCTGGATGCATTGCCTGGATACTTGACAATTTGTGGATATCCTATAAAATTGTACCGGTACCCATTAGTATGAAACATTTAAGCAATATTCACTAAATATATAAAACACTGTACTAATCTAGCCAATGTTTCATACAAAGTAACTGTTTGTGCTAGTGTAGGTAGTGCCAATAATACGGACAAGCTTTCGTTGTTAGGGATGCAACTGCCTGAAAAATAAAAGGAGAATTTCGACGTTTCGAGCGAAGGCCCTGAGCGAAAGCCCTTCGTCTGAAATTACAGACGAAGGGCCTTACAGATACTTCACAGCACACTCCCTATCAGGGCTTTTCAGTGACTGGTTACATTATGAATAGATAGATAGAACCGGACTGACGTGAAGCAGACCGAGGTAGACTTACAAATGGTGCTTGAGCAGCCGCTATTAGTCCATACCTCATTAATGATCTGCCTCCAGACCTATGTGCCTAACCCACCCTGTCAACTTTCCATGTGGGAGGAAACACGGAGTACCCGGAGAAAACCCACGACTTTCCGCAGAGCGTTGACTTTTACTCTTTTCACATAAGGACTGGGTTCGAGTCACATTGGGAAGTTCTCACTGAGATTTGAACCCATGGCCTTAGAGGTGAAAGGCAAGTGCGCTAACCACTTCGCCACCGAAGCCCGAAACGTCGAAATTTTCCTTATATTTTTCAGGTAGTTGCATCCCAGCAACGAAAGCTTGTTCATAAAAAGCAGCCTGTAAGCAGGCTCTCCCCTAACCCAGGGGGTCTGCTCAACCAGGCTACATACAAAGCTGATCTACCATTGAGAGCTAGCTAGATAAGATATACGCTAGTGAAGTAGTGAGTGCCTGGTTATCGCAAGTGAACTTGGTCATGGTCAACCACACGTATGATGATTGAAATAAAGACATTGGTATACTTACAAACATAGAAGGGAAGAAGTTGTGTTAATAGCTCTTATTGGGGAAAAATTGAATCATTCGATCGGTGTTTGAAACTATTATGGATACATTTTTTTAACCAAAATATTTCGTTGTCCGTTTCATTTTTACCCGGTTTAGTCTCACTTTCTAAGTCAGAGTGACTTTTCTCATTGATCCTTTTTGGCTTTATTGATTTTTAATTCTTTGATATGCAGTACTTCCCAGCCAATCTGTCATTACTGTATTTCTATAGTGAATTTTAAAGTTACATTTGTAAGTATTCTGGTGCAGGGGCGTCACCCTATTTTTCCTCTGACTGTTTTACATCAAATGAAATATCTTCAATCACCAGTTTCTGAAAATCTGACAGGGCATAATAAACCACGAGAGCTCAGGCATACAGTTGCGCAATATACTTAAACTGTATAGGATCTTTAAGTACTAAGTATTAAAACAGAATAAATTATAAAAATATGTACTATACAGGGTGTATTCAGTCTAACATTTACTAGTTCTATGCCAATCGCCAAAATATACTTGCGGTCATACATGTATGGTGGTTGGAATAGAACTAATAATTAACAATTATTCGCCGAAGGCGAGGTGATTATCGGTGAATAAAAACTGAGACGAAGTCGAGGTTTTTATTCACGATAATCACCGAGCCTGAGGTGAATAATTGTTTTAGTATAATTTCATAGGTGATTATTTGGAAAAAAATAAGAAAATACACATTTCTTCGTCATTTAATTGACAAAAGAGGCTTCGGCCGCCATTTTGAAAATCGCTTAGGTGATTATCGCGTAATAATCACCTCAACGGCAACCAATCAGCGTGGAGAATTTTCAATAATCACCTATGTAATTATACTAATTGTTAATAGGCAGAAACACACACCCAGTAAGCAACGTATTTTTATTCAGTTTCAGTCTAGTATAATTTTCAATTTAGTTTTATTCAGTTTCAATTTAGTTTCAGTTTCAACTTAATTATCCCGTATATTGTACAGTATGTCTGGACTCCCTGTCAATAAACACGATCATTTTCTTTTTTTCTTTATTTTGTTTTTGCAAAAAAGTATTTATAAAATTAGTACTTTTATTATTATAGAATTATCAATTTCTGAAATGTCATCAGGAGTCTTTGGGCCTCTCACTCAATTGAACTAATGCTGAAGGATTTTGTAGATGGAAATTTCGAAGGTTAATTTTAAAAGTACTACATTTATTTAGACCTAACAATAGGAAGGGGCGTGTAGCGCTGCCGAAGCGCTCTGATGTGCACCCCCACCTCCCAACTGCAGCCCCAGAAAATGTCTATGGGCCTCTGACAGGAATCAAACCTGCAGTCCCTGGAATCACAAGTACCTATAATACAATATCCCATGCATACAAATCTCAAGCGACAAATTTACAACTTTAGTGGCTAGTATTATATGAAGCAATTTTGCATACGCTAATTTTTGCACAATACAGTACATAAATTTTCTCATTGACTATTTACTCATTGCTACCGGCTATTGCAAAAACGATTTATTTTCATCATCTCCAAATTCTTCATAATATGTTGCAAAGAATGCTTGTTGCAAATTTTCATTGGAATGAAAATTGAATTTCAAAGAATGAAATTTCAGTGTACAGTTTCAGTTCAGTGTACAGTTTCATTTCATTATACACAATGTAATCTGCCTGATTACATACAATCTCTGGCGAGTCAATACTAAATTGTTGATGTGCTGTAACAGAACAATGCTTAAACTAGAAATACATGCATTCAGCAACCCCTTGCCTTTCTTAACAGATGAAGTATACATGTATAAATCTACATAAAATATTTCATGATTAAAACAATAGTGGTTCCCATAGTAACCTGAATATAATATAGGAATTGGAAAAATATTAAGAGATAATTTTTAATAAAGAATAATTGATTTTCAAAACCTAGGATGTAGTTTAAATTTATGTTATATTGTTATTTGGTCTTCAGTAGGTCCCAATTTTAAGCAAAAGAAAACTGTATAAAACATTTTGAAAACATAGCCAAGAAACCATGCAATTAAATTATTAAAAATATCAGGTGTGTCTTTTCAGTTGACAGCCACAAATTCATGAAACTGCAGGCTTCTTTCCAGTCAAAATCGAAAAAAGCATCTTGTACTTCTGTAAACTTATTTACAAAATGTAAATTCGCTAAAATATACTGCAAAACAGCAAATATGATGTAACACTTTTCTGGTTTGCTATGCCTGTAAATGAATATAAACTCTATGTTTCAATTCAAAAAAGTTTGAAAGATGCAAAATTTGGGCAACGTTTACAGTATATCTGCAGGTCCCCCTTTGTTACGAGCAGAACCAGGCACAGATTTTCTGGGGGGTGCGAACCCCCCAGAAATTGGTTGCACCCCCCAGGGGCATTTGTTACCGCCCCCAAAAAGTTTTTGCAACCCGGCAAATTATATATATTTAATACCAACGCCCTTCTCGCCCGAAAAAAGTTGGGCGTAGTTTTTAATATGTTTTGCAACATTTCTTGTAAATAATGCAAGCCACAAAAATGACAAAATAATATACTCTAGGGATTAAATTTAAACAGTAGATCCACAGTTGTAACAATTTTGATTTGGTATTTTCATATTTGATACTGTATTTTGATTATTCTTACTACTAAATTAGTAAAATTACTAATATTATGGTCTCAGATGCTGCCATGCAGGCCTTGAGAAGACAAGTTTTGTTAAACATTTTCCTTGGCCTTTCTGGGCGTTGCCACCAGGCCACGGCCCAAGCAAGCAGCAGCACCCCCCAAGATATTTATCCCCCCCCCCAAACGAAAATATGAAAATCCGTCTCTGAGCAGAACTGATGTGCAGAATGGGCTTTACAGCATCTTTAAAGCTTTTGCCAGAGCTTGTATTCGCGCATGCACATAACATCAAAAGCCATCCATCACACAATGGAGGATGACTTTGCACTTCGCTATATATGTTCTCATATGCCCGGATGTAATTAGCCGAGTGGAATTACTCAATTAGTACCCTGGGCAGAATTAGTACCCAGAATTAGTAACGCCGGGATTATACCTGGAACGGTGCTTGGGGATAAATATCAGAGATTCTTGGTTTACACATGCCCCAGGGTGAATTTGAGGGTACTTCTGAAAAATCTTTGGCGCAGAACAGTGACTCAAACAAAATTTGGCCCACATATTGATCGCAAATATTGAATTGGCGCTGAATGATCCCAAAGATCCATTTGGCGCAGCAATTTGGCAATGATTTGGTGAAGTAATTAAGCATGCATTATATTAATACTGTATATTTGAAATTATAACTTGAAAGGAATGAAAAGCCAAATTTCAAAAATTCAGTGAAGCTTCACATGAATTCGAAAAATCTTCGGCACAGAAAATTGAGAAATTCACCCTGGCACATGCCATCATGGTGGCCATGCATGTTGGAGGAATGCTAACAAATGAAAGATTAGCAGCTATTGTATTTGGAGTGTATTTTCCTCCAACATTGGCAATGCACATTGCCTACATATCTTTGTCTTATAAATCCCAAAGGATTGATTGCAAACCAACAGTGAATGATCAAATATACTTTATACCTGTTCACTAAGTTCTTCATGTTCTATGGCATAGATCACAACAGGTACAGCACCTTCACAGTAAGCCTTAACTTTCTGTTCGAGCTGGTCAGTTGTTGAGTCAAGGCCTGTAGATGAGCATACTATCTGAGCACCAGCTTTCAACAGGGGATGAGGTAACGTAACCTCCGCAACTGATAAAGCCAATGCAGGATCTAATTTGTCATCATTTTTCAACACCAAATCTCTTCTTGGAACACACTGTCCTTCCCGTTCAAAAGAACTGAGGGTTGTTGCAAGCACATAGCTATCTGGCAAAAGCAAACTCACCCCCCGAGGACCAAATTTTAGACGAATTGTTCGCCATGATTCCGAATCACCAACATCATCGCCATCAGGTAGCACTGCTTCTCCAAGTAGTTCGTTAACTACAAGTATTTTCGCATAAAGACTTTGTCCTATGACAACAATAGTTGGCAAAGTTTCACATACCCGCGAAAGAGCATCTAAATCATCGTCAGGAATGATATATGCCGAGTCGCTATCTTGGGGTAAACAACCTGAATTGCGGATTTCTTGCAATACTTTAGTTGTATCCCAATTGATTTGCTTTAAGATTGAACTTTGCTCATGAAACTGGCCGATTTCGTCAACCAATTTAGAGACCATCATTTATTTCCTTGGTGGCCAAAACATGTTCTCACCGATCTTTCTGGTTTTTCTCAGTGGGTTTTCTCAGGAAAAACAACAATTAGAACTAATTTGAGCCCCAAATGCCATCATGTCAGCGATTATCTGACACCTACAAAATAAAATACTTCATGTTGGCGTCATTTATGATAAAATAAAAACATGGCGGAAGAAAGTGCTCGAAATACCGAAAGTTTGATCGAATGTAAACGGTTATTTGTCGGTGGATTGTACAAAGGTGTCTCAAAAGAGGACTTAAGGTAGTGTTCCAGAATTGTTGCGAGATTCTCAATATATTGTTGTCAGAATCAGAATATATAAAACAGAATTTAATATTAAAACGTATAATCCAGGGTGCATAATTTCTATGCAAATATATCGCCACGCCGAAGGTTTCAAAATATATTATTTTTACGCCAAGAAATGTGAAGTTTTACGCCAGCCGGTCACAAAAAGCGAAACGAAAATAAAAGCTTGCCAATATCCAATATGGCTGACACACATATTTAGTCGACAATCGAAAAAAAGCGCATTATGCGTGTACTAGATAGATAAGAATGCTTGTTTTGTTTTTCGATAACCATTTTAAGCATAATTGACAGTGGAAGAACGTCTACATTTCAGTTTTAGGAAGTACAAACTACTTTCATAATTCGTATTTAATATTTTAATAGGCATATATTTATAAATACAGAAATATGCCGGACAATTTACGCCAACCTGACGCCAACACGCCCCAGTTTGCAGAACGTGGCACTAGTGCACCCGAGGGCAATTTCTTGTTGCAATTTTAGCGCACCTAGCCTAAATGTTCCTCGTGCCTTAGCTCCCAGGGTGCACTTGACATGTATAATGATGTAGGGTGTCTATACAAGTAAGCTATTACAGACCACATGACTTGAAATGGGTTAATTTACATACAAGCTTAGGAGGTCTATTACACTGGTACCTCTTCCTCTTATTTTTAAACACTTGAAACATGATACACTTTGTCCGTATCCTTCTTTTTCTTCATCTTCATCCCTTTCCCCACATATAAGATGAACAAATTCGCTGCATAACTTACATTTGTGTCCTGTTCCTACCTCTTTATCGCAAACTGCACATGTTACTTCTATAGTTTCCGCCATTTTCTTTCAGGAAAAAATTGGCGCGAAAATATCAAATCAGCTTACGCAATACGCATTCTTCAACTCAGGTTACTGCTCAGTGGGTTACTGTCTAGCGCGTATTTGGCCACGCAAGAAAAGATATACGAAAGAGTGGACCGTGGGGGGAAAGACAAGAGATAAGCCGCTAATAAATTGTAATTTACTATTTCCCAGCCGGCGGACCGGCGGTGACACACCTTGTCACAAAAAATTCGCACCTACAGCATTTTTTACAATTTTTCAGGTGCGCACCTGACAGTTTGAAGCGCACCTGCACTTGAAATTCTTGGTATATCGCACCCGAGATCTCGTCGAAATGTGCCACGTTCTGCAAACTGGAACACACCTACATCTTAGCGATCGGTACGCCATTATGCCAAGACTAGTACATCTCCACGCTGGAGATCTCCGAACTTTTGTGCACGGAATGCACCCTGGCGTATAATTTGACAATTCGTAGTCTACAGTACTGCCAAGAAATAACTTATCAAAAACCGCGTCCAAGATGCGGGTATCTTGCGTCCACTGTGTGTCCACGGCTGCGTCTGTCCTGCGGGCGCCGTGAGTCCATCGTGTGTCCACTGTGCGTCTGTGGGTGCATCCACTGTGCAGGCGCCATGCGTCCGCTTTGCGTCTGCGGGCGAGGACGCAGCTGAGAAAGAGTTCTATTCATAGATCGTCGGAAATTATCACGTTTCGCTTTTCATAAACAAACTGTGGGCGTCGGAAAATATTTGTGTTAGCGATTTCACACCACGTTTTTATGCTAAAACACAAGCGTTGCAGACCTAGAATCCTAGATATTTATACTTCTAACATTAAACTCACCGTGAATTTTCAGAATTTGTGCTTCGTAAAGTTCCTTTTCGTATTTGATCTCTACTTTCGCACCTTCGTATAACGTTTGGTTTAAACCCAGTAATCTTTTAACGTTGCCGGTTGGCAAAATGCACGTATGGTTTTATATCTTCTTTGAAAAACCCAAAATACGTTTTGGTTGACAAGTAAGCGATCGATACCACATTTCATTAGTCTGATAGTAATATGGATCGAGTTATATTAGTCTGAGCTCTTCAATTCAGCTTTAGCGAATTATACTTTAGCGAATTATACTTTGAAAATCAAGCGATGAGTCACAGTCATTGAATCGTGTTGAAACACAAAGACTGTTTCCTGGACATGTAAAGGTATTCCATTAAGGGATTAAGAGAAGTCATTTATCCAGAAATTATATGGTAATTATCAATTTATATGACATATCACCATGTGCATTTACTGCTTTGGAAAAACAACACAAACTTGTTGCTGTAAATAAAGTTATATAGTGGCTCATAGTAATGGTATTTTATATGAAAAATCAAAAGCGCTATATATATTGTAAATGAGCATCTTCGTTTTAATATACTGACGAGTTACGAAGACATAACATTATTCAAATACAGAATTGCATATCAACTAATCGGCAATCTTCTACGAGGTAAGTCAGAATTTGAGTAGCAAATGAATGTGTTGCGAGATATATACTCGTTGTAGTCGTGATCTCACTGAGTTTAGTATATGCATGTGTCTACATTATATTTATATATAGTTTATGTGTATTTTACGCTCCAATATACAGTCATATACGCTTCAATCGCCACTCAAGTACGTGTGATTGCATTGTGAAAGCACTACGCTTACTGTAGTATAACGAATAACATTATAAAATGGTTACCGGTATACTAAGTGTAACGCTTAGGTTCAATGAAACTCGATTTCGGATTCAACTTTTTATTCTTGCTTCTCCGATCAGTGACACTGATCTGTATTCTCACGACAAACTACGAGTATGATGCAAATATTAGTTCGTTTTCCGATTATGTTACGACGACTGCGTCCAAGCCGACGCAGTTTTTAACTAGAGGCCGGACGCGGGCACTTTGGAGGCAGGACGCGGGCAGAGTAGACGCAAGACGCGGGCGTCGTGGAGGCCGGACGCGGGCGCTCTGGAGGCAGGACGCGGGCAGAGTGGACGCAAGACGCGGGCGCTCTGGAGGCAGGACGTGGGCAGACGCGGGGACAAGTTATTTCTTGGCAGTACTGTACCTCAGATAATGTATTAATGTTGATCGTCTCTTAGGCTTTTAAAAACAATATGACAGCCTTTGAAACTCCCGAATTTCAGATCGGCAAGAAATTTCCGACCTAAAAACGATAATTATTTTAATTTTTATAATGAGCTTAAGCAAGCAATTTTTTGTCAACATGGACATCACTCATCAGATTGTCGAGGGGGGGGGGGATGGTTTAAAAACTGTGTTAACTTTGTACACAGTTTGTATAATGCAGCTATCAATTTAAAACCCAAGGGGGGGGGGGGGTGCAGGAAAAGGGTGGAGATTTGACAAAAAGTTGAGATTTTGTTTAAAATTTCCTTGGGAAGACAGGAGACCAATATCAATCAAATGTATCAAAAAGTCTCCACCTGGCTGGGCTGGATGTATAAAATACTAAAAAAAGTGATTAAAGTTAACTATAGTTAGTGGAAACATCATCCAATAAGAAGTGCATATTTGAGAGTTAATCACTATTAGTTTTATACAACCGGCCCCTGGGGGCAGAATAAGCAGGGTCTGAAATTTATATATTTTGTCAGTATCCAAATGGGATACCAGGATTCAAAATTTAGTATCCCCCCTGAGAATCCAGTATCCCACTTCTGGATACTGCATGGTTACCGGTACCATAAGTATTATACACTGTCCCATCCAAATAAATTTCCATAACTCTCACTGTAACAAATTGCAATAACAACAGGAGACTCAACAGTCAACAACTAAATAACGCACTAAAATGCACATAATATCCTTCAACACACTTCTATATGCTAGTCCTCAATGAGGTTGCAAACTGATAGTATTCAAAAACTATCAAGAGCCTCAAAGGTGTTTAACATTTTCTTAATGTTTGAAATTTTCTTAGTATATCCAGTCAGGATAGAAGTTTGGTATCCAAAACCAATACTGCAACAGGGCTTTATCCAAGCACTTTCGCTGACCCCCGTTTTAGAAACGAAAATTCAGTTTTTGTGATGCACAAACTGTAGTCTCTCGAAGTGTAGCATCTTAAACTATATTGCCGCCACGTTGCTTGAATGTAACCGCCTGGTTTGTGAATGATGTAATCTTATATAGACATTGCCCAATACCAAAGAGGCCATGCATTGATGTACTCGTATTCAAGCGTATTTTTTCTGCAGCTTTTTCACTCTTCCAAGGTTGTGTAAATCTTAGATTTTAGCTCGAAAAATTATACTTTTTATTTGTAATATTTGTTTATCTTCAGTCATCCCATTTCATTTTGTGCTGATTTGATCGAAATTTTTATCAGAAATCCAAAAATGCATGCCATCTAAGCATGGTGGGCACAAGACACAAAATACACAATATATAGAGGTAGCTTTATAACATAAACAATAACATGTCGTTTTAATTTGAAAAAAACAGCTCAAACAGCCCTGTTGCTCGGAATTCCAAAAACTAAAGCGTGTGAAAATTATTTTTTGTTGTTTTTAGTGTGAAGTTTCTTCGAAACTTCACAGTATTGTAATGACTGGGGGGAAATTCAAACGAATCAGTCAGTCATACAGTAAACTTTCCGGGGGTATAGACGATTAGTTATGTTCGTAGTGATTTATTGTACTTAGTCAGTGTTTTGAAGGTTATTTAGGCAATTTCAGTTGCCTTCTTTAAATATCCTTTTGGACTTTTGCCAAGTTCACAAAAATTTCGAGGAATCGTTGTCGTTATGCAAATTTTATAACATTCGCTTCTCGTCGGTTTTTCGTGTTGTGTAAAGGACTTTCCCCCGGAACACCCGATTTTTTCTTTAGCAGCGCAAATGCGCATGCTCTATCAAGCCGTAGATCAACGATAGCGTGACAATGCTACGAAGGAGCGAGGCAGTGTTGTTTTCAAATATATAAATATTGAATGCCCATAATGCATAACATCGATTTATATATTGCGCAGATTATCAAAGATTTACTAGCTGTAATAGTAATTCTCATGTCTAAAATATTTTAAATATTTTAAATATTTTAGACATGAGAATTACTATTACAGCTAGTAAATCTTTGAGAATCTGCGCAATATATAAATTGATGTTATGCATTATGGGCATTCAATCAAGTACCGATATTATTTTATTGATGGTATATTCATTATACGAAGCTGGGAAGGAGCTAGACAGTGCTTTTTTTCAAATGCATAAACATTTCATTTTCAGAATTCAGACGTAAATATTGAGAAAATCTTTGAGATTCTAGGCATTCAATTAAGTGTCGATATTATTTTGACGGTATATTCATTATACAGAGCTAGGAAGGAGCCATATACAGTTTGTTTTCAAATATATAAACATTTCAGACATGAATATCTTGGATTCTACGCAATATATAAATTGATGTTTTGTATTTTACCGGCATTCAATTAATTAATATTTTAAGTGCCGATATATATTATTTGTATTCATTATACATCGACTGTATAAGGTGCTACACAGCTACACCACAGAGTAGATGGCTACACTCAGTACGAAGAGCGAAAACTTGCATCAGTCAGTAGCGTAAACAACTATTAAACAGAAGCGGTCTTTGTATCATTGTATGGCGTTATAATACGAAGAAAATATAACCATCAAAATAACTTGTTGCGAGACTAAAGCCTGTTGCGAGGCTAAAGAAAATCTCTTGACCCGTCAGAGCTCTTTATTCAAACGAGAAAGACGAGGAAATAGCCAACGTATATCGCTTTACAGTCTTACCTCAACAAGAGGGAAGAGCCTGGGAACTAGGTTGCTTTACAGTATGAAATATACAGTCACGGGCCTTGTTCACATGTCCAGCACAACGGTGCAAACTCGTGTTCAATGCAGTATTTAATGCAATGAGAACTCTACCAGATCTTACAAGAATCTATCCGTATCAGAGCTTTATCAAAACTGCTATAATTAAACACTGCTATAAGCCTATAACTGTGAAACTATTGACATCTAAATTGAAATTATTGAATACTTGCGAAAAGCTGAAAATGACTCATGAAAAGCAACTTGATCTTGGGAATATAAAGTCAAAGGTCAATGAGACTTGTTGTTGTGAAACATGTCACAAATCACAATTAGGTTAAAATGCGGAAGCGGATGAGGAACGGAGCGGATCCACGGAGCGGATCCACAGAACGGATATGGGGATAAAATACGTCCTTTTAATGATGCAACGTCGTAGTGCTTATTATTCATAACATATCTTTAATCCTGTACAGCTACAGGTATTTCAATTAAAGTTGTCACTGAGACAATAGTCAAATGTAATATGGGCGCTAAAAGGATCATGGGAATAATCATAGTTTTAAATAAGTTTAGTATATCAGTAGCCTCGTGGGGATGCTTTTAGCGACAGCTCCCAAAGCAAATGTAGTTTTAGAATATGCAAAATTTGGTTGTTGGTGAAACAATTTAAATTTCGAGTTGTCGCGTGCAGCATCACAATAAATAAATAAATTGTATCAGTTCCACGAGGCACGACATTTTTGATGTGCTAGCCAGTTGTTTCAAACGTCTCGCTATTCATGTGCCGAACGCATTAAAAATAGATGAGATGAAATGCCTTTGGTAACTGTTTATTTCGTAGTGTAAGCCATCAACTTTTCTAGGTTGTCGGCGACCCTATATAGTTCTTGCAGTGTCTTTTTCAATTTGAAACTTCACACTATCCTTGGATCCCTAGTTTCTTTTCGTTGGAGAAAGATTCAGTTTAAAAACTCAATCCAAGATTGAGTTTTGACCTCCGTTTACTGGAGGTCACTTGGTGCTTGGATAAAGCCCTGTCAGCAAACTTCAGACCCTGGAATAAACATTCTCCGTACTGAAAAACAATTGATACAATAATATAGCCCAGACAACTATTTATTGGGTTTAATGCTTCACTGCTTCTTGCAGGATATTCAGAAATGTCAGTCAAATGTCCCACCCCCTGGGATAACATTGATGTTCAAATTCCCTACGAAGGGGATAAGCACTCAAGTCCAATCCCCAGTCTTTGCCAGCAGCCTCCCCGTGGGATTTACATTGATAGATGCATAAATCTGACGTCCATGCTGACAAAACGTCGCTTGCTTAAACTCGCAAATTTTCAATCTAAGTCTTAGTCGGCAAAAATTTTCCAAACAAGTGAATAATTTCCAAATGATAATTTGATTTTGTTGCTTACATCAAGTAATTTATAGACAGCAATTCAATAGTAAACAAAACAAATAACAAAATGCAGGAACAATATCAATTAAATAATTGAACCCGACCAAACAGTTCAGGTGTGTGCACCCCACTAAATGCACTGTGCCAAACAGTGCATGTTCGGCACTTAATTGTTATGTGTTGTTATTGCTGTAATTATATATAGCATGTGCAGTCCACGCACCCAGCATGTAGCTATAACTGCATGGACTGCATGCAATAGGTTCTCTAAATACACCTCATTCTAAAATACAAGTGATATTTGACAGATTGGAAACAGCATGCAATCAAACATACATAGAGGATATTAGACGGTTGCGAAGAGATATGGATTTTATGTTCGAGTGGCAAAAACAATATCTCACGAGTGAGCGCAGCGAACGAGTGAGATATTGTTTATGACACGAGAACATAAATCCATATCTTCTCGCAGTCGTTTAATGTTCTGTTTATTATACTGTATGGACTTATTCAGAGTGACAAAAGTACACACAAAGACGACATGTAAATAAGCACGCGAAAGACCAGTGTAATTGTGTAAATGCGATATTTTTTTAAATTATAGTGCAAACATAAAACGAGAATAAATTTTACTTATCTCAAGATGTCTTTTAAATGTTTTCGTTTTATTTCCAATGTTAATTTCGTTTTAAATACGAACCAAAGACCATTTGTATTTTCAAAACAACAGCAATGAAAATGGCGGGAAATTTGAGAAACACTAGCAGGGGTGAAATCAGTGAACTCTCTATATATTTAACAGTTATTCTACGAACTCGAGTCGAATATGAGCTGATAGCCGATGAGGCGCGTAGCGCCGAATCGGCTATCGCTCATATTCGACGAGAGTGAGTGGAATAACTGTTTTATTATATACACAAGGTCTGAATTCACAGACTTTGCTTTTCGAATATTTTCAATATTTTTCTATTTTGTTTATGTTTTTATCTTCGCTGTTTCGGCCGATTATTTTTTCAAAAATATATATTTTTAACCATTTTAAATTTTAAACATTTATTTGCTAACCTGAAAACAATTTGTGGGAGTTTTTTCATTGTGTTTTTAATCCTGTAAAGGCTATAAAAAGCGACAACTTGCCGTTTTCTCGTTTGCAAAACATCGTAAATTCAGTTTGGCCGCCATTTTGTTTTTCTCTACTAGCAGGATATGAGCTAATATCCCGCTAGTAGAGAACCAATCAGATTGCAGAATACCTCATATCCAGACCTTGTGTATATAATAAATATATATATCTGGAACGATAACAGCGAGCGAAAAGTGAAGCCGACGGAAAAATCACGACATAAGTATTCGTCATTGTCTTCGTCATCAACTGTTCAAGAACTTTCTTACAGTATTAAAAATCACTTAGGGCCTGTTCATATGATCCCGCTTACCGGGACGTCTCGCTTACCGAGACGAATATTTCCGTGCGTTCATATGGAGTATTTCGTCCCGCTTGCCGAGATGAAATTACATTGTAGTTCTATAATTAGCGTATGCAAAACTTCTACATTTCAGTCAAGCAACACAAATACTTGGCGATTTTAGTGTTTTTCTTCGTTTATTTACAAGAAAAAGTATTGCTTCAGGTGGTTATTTAATACTTGTTTACAAAACAAACATAAAACCAAGTAAAAAGTGTTAAATTAAACCGGCAAGACTTGTTTCACTTCATCCCGGTAAGCGGGCTGGCGTGTTCATATGGAAAAATTTTCATCCCGCCTACCTATGATCTCGGCAAATTCAAACGAGATCTCGGCAAGCGGGCCAGCTCGCTTTCTCATATGAACACAATGCAAAATTTTATAGGAAAATAGATAGGCGGCGAGATCATCGGTAAGCGAGACGTCCCGGTAAGCGGGATCATATGAACAGGCCCTTACATATAAAATTTGTAATTGTTTTGAAAGTTTTTATCACAGTTTTTATATCTTTATTCACTTTTATAAACCTGAAGATGGAGTTATACTTCGAAACGTAGTTATTAAAATAATTTTTTACTAAGCCCATATGGTCTAATTTTAACACACGTACCGATATTCATTTACATTTTGCTGGCAGGCAAATTCCGATCACACAATAAATTCTTTAAAAAATAACGTACCAGTGTATTGACTAAAAACTATAAAACTGGTAAACTAAAAAACAATTCAAACAATCGCGAAAAATGGCAACGGCAAAGTCACAGTTGCAAGTCAATTTACCTACCTGTGAAATGAAATTTTCTCGCAAGAATATCTCTTTCGTTGTGCATCCAGAACGACAGTACGACACAATATATTTGAAAAAGTGATTCTTTTCTCCAGACGGGGAAATTTTACTCGGCTTTTTTCCGACAGCGAACTCAATGCAGTAAATTTTAGGAGCAAATCTGTTTGCTCCTACAATGTATTGCATTGAGTTGGCCATGTTTTTAATTTTTTTTTCGTGATTGCGTTCAAATTTATACTGGCCGTGCAACGGTTTGCAAGAGGGGGAATGAAACTGACGTCCAATCCGCGTAAGCCTGACGTTTGAGGGACTGAGACTGACGTCCAATCCGCGTGAAAGACTGGTATCGAGGCTTCATTGTTTTCACAATCAAATGACTGAATGTTATCGTTCCAGATATATATATATATATAGAGTTCACTGGGTGAAATACGGAAAATACGCGCACCTGGCCCCGGATGTAGTGACGTATGAGTTCTACGAGTGTTTTAGTTTCCTTGTCCATATAATAAAGGACTTTATTCGCGAGGAAATCTAGAATATATGAAATGTAATAATAAATAAAAGTTTAGTTACAGATAAATAAAAAAATGTTTCACTTGTGTAAACATGCCAGTCAATTCTTGCTGTTGCTAATGGTTAATTCAATTGATGAATTTGATATGCTGATATATTAAGTGATAATGATCAAAACATGATAAAACGCCATCCTTGAAAATACAAGCTTCACCCAATAATTTCCATTTGTACAGGTACTGTATATAACAAAACATACAAAAGAACTAGGAAAGTACAAAATAAAGTCAGATTTATTCAAGAAAGTCAAGAAACTAGACTTGCACTCGGCGCTCACTACTAGTACAAAGGCTAGTACAAACTATCGGTGATCAAACCTCACCGACCCATCCCCAAACTCCTCGATCCTCCTTGATTGAGCCCCCTCCCCAATATTGATTTATTTCTGACAGCCTTGAAATATGTACTTGTATGTGATGAAAAGTGTGTTCAAGGAAAAAATGTCGAGAAAGAAGCTAGAGATCTACTGGAATTTGTTAATATTAATTTTCAATGCACATTTTGAGTGTTACAGTGTTAATGTCAGGTTTGACTCTGGTTGTATAATTATGTCAAAATTTTGACTGGTAAAACATTTGGGGAAATGTATTTCGATTAATCTCGTACCTTAAGGTGGAGTAATACGAGCAACAAAATTGCTGCAACTTGCAACAAAATCTGATTTCAACGCATGTTAAGTAGAAATGTTGACACGTGTTGCCTCGTGATTTGTAATTTATGGGTAAACATTTTCAATTAAACATGCGTTGAAATCAGATTTTGTTGCAAGTTGCAGCAAATTTTGTTGCTCGTATTACTCCAGCTTTATATAATATTTTAGATATTACACTAAGCAAACGAAACTGAGGAACTCTGTGTGTTTCTAATTATTATGTAGGTTTGATTAGGCCTAAAGAATAATATCCTGCGGTTCCGCATTCATTGCCTGAAAAATTAATTGTTCATGAATGTCATTTAATTATTCATGAATTTTGCTAATATTAAGCCATATTAGGCCATATAAAATATATTAATAATTAGTCTAATGCGTAGATACGGAAAGAGCTAATGCCCTTTGTTGTTACTAACTGCGCTATATCTGTACAAAAACATATGCACCATGACTACGTATTATCAAATTTAAGCATGAGGCTACATTTCTGTATAACGGTGCGTTTAATGAGGTTACATAGTAACCAAGGTTAATATCATAGGAACCGCGCGCAGTCTGGGTACTATAGGTGCCCTCAGGATATCGGATATAGAGAGTGGCAAGCAGACTCTCAGATCATTAGCTAATTCGTAGCCAACTGCAATGGTAATCTGCTCAGAGAAGAAGCTTTTTTTTTCATGACTACAATTGATTTTCAATTTAATTTCCATCGAACTAAGTTCGGTGTGATAAGGTGCAGACGTTCGGTGGTCAGGTCCTGAATGGACAGGTCCACGTGATTCGGACCTGAATCCAAGTAACTCAAATCCGTAGATCATTAGCTGACCACGTCTGCACCTAACTATCCACACGGGTAAGAATGGTGACGACAGATATTAAGTCGTTTTAGTATAGTGATACTTGTATTTTTGCTACATAGTATTTTGGAGTTTTTGATCTGATGAAGACGGACTTTAAAGTGGCAATTCAAATCAAGAATGATGAAATAAGCAAATCTACCACTGGCTCACCACCAACTCTGAACCCGCGTGATGACAAATTCAACATTGCTCTTTTATGCATAAAATGCAATAAATTTAAGACGTCTTTGTTAGTTTTTTTATTCTTGCTTTGCTTCATCTCATTTTGCCACCGTGACTGGCGCTAGGGCTGGCTGCGTAGCTGGCGCTACCCCTGCTAGCTTCTCCTGCCTCCCCCCTCCCCGCTAACGCCTGCTGGGCAGGCTATATTGTGTATACAGGCCATTTTCAACCACTGCATGACCGCAAATAGTCAATTAAAGCCCTTCTGATTGACCTATTGATTAATATGTCAAAGTCTAGAAATTCTAGTAAATGTCCTTAGACTATGAATAATGTAAGGTACATTATTCATAGTAATAATAATATTCATAATATTTGTAACATTAATAATATTTGTAACTTTTGATATGTATTTTTATCAAATGAATAAAGACTTATTATTATTATTATTATTATTATTATTATTATTATTATTATTATTATTATTATTACACTGATGATATTGGTATACATATTATACATTATTTCTCTTTTATTAAATGAAGACTAAAGTTTACCCCGTTTGGAGATGTCAAAGACTTGGAAATTATAAGCCGTCATGATTCCGGCTCAGGTACTGTATGGCATCAAGTAGTTTAGTATCCTAATGTAATTTATGTCGCTTAAAAATCACACTGCATGAAACGGCAGTATTAAATAACAGCAGACAAGGAGATTGGTCATAGAAAATTGTTGATCAGTGCTGGTGATTCGGCTTGTCTGTGGATGCATGTGCTTATTGCATGTTGTACTCGGTATTCCGTAGAATGTTGGAATAATACGTTTACGATTCCGCCGGGATCACCCACTCCAATGTTGTGTATGTTCAAATTCCTAAATCTCTTAATTTTACATCCACTTTAGGGGATCATATAAAAACGTTTGCATACCTCAACATTGGCATGTCTGAGAAGAATTTTAGAAAATGTAAGTACGGTTTGTTGCTTAGCTCCGCCGATGGTTTTATGTATTTATTTAGCTTTGCCAACTAGGGCAGGGTCACCACAACAGCATATGCCAATTACTGTGGGCCCTTTTACCTAACCCACCCTGTCAACTTTCCCTGTGGGAAGAAACCGGAGTACCCGGAGAAAACCCACGACTTTCGGCAGAGCGTTGACTTTTACTCTTTTCACATGAGGACTGGGTTCGAGTCGCGTCGAGAAAGGTCTCAGGACCGAGGATGCACCGGGACTTGAACCTGCGACCTTAGAGGTGAAAGGCAAGTGCGCTAACCACCTAAGCCACATGAACTGATCCCATATAAATATTTAAAAAAATCATATGTGATGAACTTCGATCAAACTGTTTGTTGAGAAATATGATACTTGGACTAATATACATGCAGGTATTGCAATGAATGGCGTAAATTCTACCACCATTACCATATATCTTTGAGCCAATATGAATTTATTTTACTATAATATAAGCAACATTTTCTTCCCTTGAATAAATAGGTTTAACGACGTATAACAAATGTAATTGGAAAGGCCATAATCTTAAAGTGGAAGTTGCCAAAGAAGATTATTTAACCAGGTAGACTTACATCATATTTAAAGCAATATTTATCTCCAAAACTTTGATTACCATATATCTGCATGTGTACAGATCCCAACCCAAAGTTAGTAACAATGTTAATCGTCGTATATACTACTGTGTATACTATTAATGTATATGACTATTATTCCAGTAATACTAAGTTTTCGTTTTAGATTGCAGAAAGAGAAGCAGCCAAACGACAGTTTAGGTCAAACCAAGGATACCCCAGGCATTCCTGCAGTAAAGGACATAAAATCAGCAGTTCCCGGGACACCTGTACCGAAGAAAAGAAACTGGGTGATCGGGAAGTTTGGAAGAGCACTGCCAATTGTGTTTTTACGTCGAAAAGATGGCAAGAAGATAGCAAAATTTGATCCGTCAAAAACTGTTCACTGTTTGAAAAAGCTGAGCGGGAATAACGATAATCAAGATCATCCTGTTGATAACTTAACTTGGAATCTTGATGACCATGATCCAGTCCTTATTGGAGTTTATAAAACGAGTCCTACAAACAGAGTTTGTTTGAAACGACCACGTGAAGAAATTGAAGGAGACAATTGTTATACAGCAAAGGAGAAAATTAGGACGAAGGAAAGGAACTCCAGTTTGAAAGATATTCACAGTAATGAAAATGTGAATGATGCAACTAACTCTTTCGGCGATTATGATCAACCACAACATAACAAACCTAGTTTTCTTAACTCTAGCAATTCTATGGTTAAAAGTAACGATGAATCAATTTCGTTTCCTTCCTCTCACCAGAGTTTTGACAATGATGGAACAAGTGATGCTTTGTCAACAAGCAAATCTAGCTTAAAGGAAAGCAAAGAGTGGAATGAAATTAAAGATAAAGATTATGAGCAACAATCTGACAACCAAGTTGACTTTTCATCAAGTAGCGAAAGCTGTTTATCCAGTGACGAGAGCTTATCACAAACAGAAGAGTCAGATCAGGTTTCAGAAACAAGCAGTCACTCGAATTCTGCGTACACTTCATCGGTAGAATCGCTTAGAGATTATGAGACAGAAACCAAATCAAGTTCTCGAACTTCAAAACTTTTTAAAGCAGACATAAGTGATCGATCAAGAAATAAGAGAGAAATTTCAAACAAGTTAAGACTGGAAACATTAGAAGAAAGAAGAGAAGTTCTCAAAACTCAGAAAGAAATCGTTAAAAACGCCCTCCAGAAGGTGGATGCTGGTTCTGTTAAAGGAGGAAATCATATAGTTTTTGGGAACGATGACAACCGCACGGATGAAGAAAATCTGAATTCATTGGATGACGGAAAGGTTGGTCTGTCTTAGCAATTAATCATATTTTAAGTTGATAAGGTAACTGGGACGTGCAGGCATTTAAAGTTTGATCGAATAAATGGTACCAACGATAGGAATCTCTGTATAGGAATAGTGATCTATGAAAATGGTAAAAATGTCTATGGAATACCCTGATATCTTCAAAATTAATGTGTTTGACTAATTCTCTCTAAAGCTTACTATTGAAACTGTATTACACGAATAAAATTATCAAACGAATAAAATATTGAATTTCTATCATCTTTTGGGTGCTGATTACAGTGACAGGTTACAGATTATATAAATACACTAATCTTAACTCGTATGTGGCATGCAAGGCGACCCACCTGCAAAATTCAGCACTTTGATAGGTTCCTGAACGGTCGGTAATTTGCAGTACGGACCACTAAGATGGACCAAATCAGTCTTTTCCTAGTCACTTAAACTGTAAATATGTAACCAGTAAGCTTTGCATATAAAATGACTCCAGTACATGTTAAAACTTTGTTTACATGTATGAAAACACTTTTTGAACTAAAGTAAAACTGTACCGAAAATGCTCTGTTTTCGACTTTTATTATTTTAAAATCCGAAAATCTGTTGTTATCGTTTTATCTTGTTGTTTAGTCAAAATTGTTCACAGAAATTTAAAATCCTGCGTTTTTAAATATTCAAATAGTGTTGGAAACTTTGTTTTTCGAAGAATGCCATATAATAAATAACTTATTGACTGACCTTGTTCAGTCCTGACTGGAAGGCACTTGTCGAGTTCGTTTTTCTCTTGCATATGGACCTCGCCTACGGCTCGTCTAATATCATCCAGTCCGAACTTCTAGCTCAGTCAATAACATAATATTACAGCTTAAACCTTAGTTTATATATTTCCATGTTTTTTCAGAAAATAAGTGGTTCCAAAGCTCTTGCTTGGCTAGGAATGGATTCTTCCAGTGACGACGATGATGACTCTAACAAAAAAGTCGTAGAATTTCTTGGAAAAGAGCATTTTGATGGAAGATCAGGGGAGAAGGTTCGCACTTTTTTTGAACAAGTATACTTCTCTGAACCATCCTAGCATATATTTCTAACAATGCCATACTTATATATATCAACATGTTTCGCTGCTCTTGTTTGCACAAGTTATATTGTTTGCATAATTACGTTCAGGGCCTAACAGGAACAACATTTTGTTGTGTTTATCCTTAGCTGATGAAATTGCAACAAAAGTTTGGGCATGATCAAAGGTTTAAAATGGATGAACGCTTTTTGGAAAGTGACGATGAAATGGAAGCGATATCAAAAACACCGGTTTTTGAGGAATATGATTTGGACAATCAACTTAAGGAAGAAAAATTGTTATCTTTGAAAGTTCTCCAAGATGTGCTTGGTACGAACTCCGTGTTTGTCGATGAAAACGAGGATGCGAGAAACTTATACAGGTGAGAAAAGTGACTTTCAGTTGCTAAATACATCAAAGAATTATTTCATAAATCACTATTAAAGTATTACTTTTATTGCACGGTCAGTAAAATTGATGTTTCTATTCAATGTCACGTGATCATTATCAGCTGGCCAATTAAATGACGACAATTTAAGACATTATATTTTGCAGAACTTTTTTTATCGCTACTGATTTTCCTGACAATGTATTATTAACTTCGCTATAAGGACCTTAATTCAGCAACCGTTCGCCCGTTCGGTTTATTAGACGAAAGGTATTAGTAAATCTGATGCTATACAGTAGTTCCACGCTATACCTATGTTACTTTACTATGGACTGATTATTGTGCTCTCCAGGACAAATGCAGTTATATTTGTGTTTGCAATAGAGACTCTGTTGACACACACTACGATCCAAGTCGTGAAGACCATGCTAACTTTGAGGAAGAAATTAGAATACCTAAAAGTCCCGAGCGAAACAATGAGAACAATATGGCAGATGATGTAACTGCAGTAAACGAACATGTTGTTACACAAGAAAAATTTTATTGTGTATCTGAATCATTGAAAGGATTTTTTGGCAATAAAGATAAGGTACTGTATGGCAGTTCATGCCAATTACGATGAACGTATATTATGATATGATATCCCTTGAACATTCACAAACAATGCATGGTACAGCATTCTAACCTCTGGTGAACCTCTAGCCTCTGGTGTAAAAATGTAATCGAACCACATGTTGAAGAGTTATTTTTGATTGCCCAACCTATATATAGCCCTCTCCGTTGCCATATCTATCCGACTTCCTAGAGATGCCTGCGGAGGAGACAAGCCCAACCGGGAATTAAACGTTATGTCTCCCGTTTACTACCAGCACTTGGTGTACTGCTGAGAACAGTAAGCGGTATATAATAGCATGTATGGGATGTATGTAAGTAGCGAAATCCTATGATCTCCATGATCCTTGGACAACAACACATACTTTATATACCGAGTATATAATATACTGAATATATATATATATATATATATATATATATATATATATATATATATATATATATATATATATATATATATATATATATATATATATATATATATATATATATATATATATAAATATCACTAGCCTCCCAAAATTTATTAAATTGAAACAAAATTTATTAAACTTCAAACAAATACATAAATACGTTTCGGGGCACAACCCCTTCGTCTGACGAATATATATATATATATATATATATATATATATATATATATATATATATATATATATATATATATATATATATATATATATATATATATATATACCGGGTGTCCCAAAAAAAAGTACTCCTGTTTGATTTATAATAACTTCTAAACAAGTAAAGCTATCAAACAGAAATAACTTGCATTACATATAGGAAGGGCTAACTTAGATTTTGATATGTTACAGTTGTATTTTACTTAAAAATTCACCGAGATATTAATGTTCAAAATCTGGAGCATATTTTCGGATGTGTCTAAAATTAGCGAAAATCTGCATATCAAATATAACTCCAGCGTTTCTTTGTTTAATGACATATCAGGCTAACTTGTATTTCAACGAATTGTCGTTAGGGTTTGTATTAGGGATATGGCGTAGATTTAGACATCTTAACATATATGCATGTAAGTCTTAGCTCATGTTTCCTGAAATATGAATGTTCGAAATTATGCAAGTATTTAATAGGTCTTTACAAACTTAAAGGTACATGAAAGACCACTAGGCAGGCTTAAATATTTCTTAAATAGCCTAATTTTTCTTTGTTTTTCATGGGTTAAAAACAGAGTTGATTATTTCTCGGTTAGAGCAGGATGAATATTATTCTTTAATGAAGGAAATAATATTGCTTTTTGCAAATACACATCACAGTATCGACGCTACTATTTTGTTACGTTTTGTTCCAAAAATGTTGGATGTCTCTGGGGAGTTGCTTGTTATGACTTATGGAGTTGTATGGTTTGATTGTGTTTCATTCTCAGTTTATTCTGAACTTAACAAGATAAACAAGATTAAGAAAAGGCAAAAGAGTTTGAGTTTTCTTAACAAGATTTCAGAACTTTGAAGAAGTTGAAGAGCTTCACAATTCTATTGTGACAGCATGCCCTAATTCAGAACTACGAACGCGGATATTCATGACGATCTTTCGCGATGCAGTGGTCTCATGAAATAAGGAAACGTATTCGTGCTAGGAACACATGCACACCGATTTCGGACAAATATATCTTGCTTGTATTTTGTAGATAATAATACTTTGTTTCATAATAAACAATTTGTCAAATGTAATTTATTTACTGGTAATAGTGCATGTTTCAGTCGGGCAAATGTTGATTAATATTTGATACGCCGTTTTTTGCATATTTCAGACACATCCAGAAATATGCTCCCGATTTTAAACATTAATATCTCCGTGAATTTTTAAGTGAAATACAACTCTAATATATCAAAATCTAAGTTAATCCTTCCTCTATTTGATGAAAGTTATTTCTCTTTAAAAGCTTTAATTATTTAGAAGTTATTACGAATCAAACCGGAGTACTTTTTTTTGGGACACCCGGTACTTGCATGCATTAAACCTCGCATTTATTTTCCTAAACAGTTCTTAACATGAAATACTCTGAATTAAAGCCGCCAATGAACGCATGCAGCCTTGCGTCATGTTAGCCATGGCGACAAAACTCGCAAAAAACTCCTTTCCCCTTTTTTTAAAGACGAAAAGCATTTGTTTGCTGTATAAATTATTAGATGCTAATAATATGATGAAGGAAGGCAAATATGCATTGTTCTATTGGTGATAAACAAAGGTTAACAGGTAGGGAATCAAGCCTCGTTACGTCAGCACATCACGTGACCGAAAACAAGGCCGGGCGCGTATGTAACAAGAGCTTGGCCGCGCATTGGTGGTGTTAGTAATCATTGTGCGCTATAAGCATAGAAAACGTATCAGGAACAAAGATTTTTTCCTCCTGTTCTTTTATATTTCCACCAATTATTAATTGGTATGAAGGTGATGGCCCTACCGGGGTGGTCTGCTCAAGATAACACTGGCATGGATCTTGACCCGAGTCCAAGTAACAGTAGTGCCAGTAGTCGTCCCAGGCTACCCCCAGGTCACCTGAGCTAACACCTCACCATCCAAACTTGTAAGTATGGTGAACGAAGGTGTTAAAGACTTCAAAGATATACGTAACTATTCCTGTGCAAACCGCATTGAAAAGGCCTAGACCTAGAGAAGCTTCTTGCCGAAACCAAACATGGACGACAATCTTAAAATATCGTTCTTCTTGCAGTTCTTTTGGGCCATAAGCAGGAATTTCTTGCACTGGTTAAAACATCAACATTTCGCCCACTGAAATTACGCAGAGAATACGCATTTTACCAAGCGACTGCGCCGAAATTAATGAGGAGTTGGAATGATACGTAAGCAGATTTAAAACTACGTTTTAGGCAAAATTTTCACGTAATGTCATATTTTGTTATACGCCGATAGACCATGAAGTTGACCTAAGAAATAAAACAACTTGCAGGCCGTAGCAATACGATGTGAATCTCCCATATTTAAAGCTACACTAGATTGAGTTGATGTGGCAGTAATTTCGGCAAATGACATGGCTATAACTAGTAATCTCAGTCAAATTAAAAAGCCCTGCTTCACTCCTAATCATTCAGTATGTAATTTACAGTATACGCCATTTTATCCGTCAAAGTTTGGACAAAAATCAATTTTATGGCGAAAATAGGCAATTTTTAACTACAACTCAGTTTCTATGTGATTGAAATCTTGAAACAAAACACAATAAAAAATAAATTGGGAACTCGATTAAACGGGAAAAGATGGTTACAGAGAAACACATTCGACATTATCTGACTCTATAATTTTTAAGAAAAAATAATTACTAATAGATAGATGATTTTGAGATCCCATTTCTTTTTTTGCTTTCCAGGCAATAATAAAATCTAATATTACCTTTGTCAAGGTCACGTTGTCCATTCTTTTCAAACTCCTAATTTTTTCACGATGTTTAAGGGACTTCATTAATTCCAAATTCAAAATATTTATGATCTCAGTATTGGCACATATTAATGGTTCCTTCTCTTTTCGTATATCAACGTTATATTTCAGTAATGTTTGAACTACGGCGGTATGACCTTTCCGGCATGCTATACGTAAGGGAATTTTCAATTTCCAATTATTCATGTCTTTAGTCACTCCATGTTGAAGAAGGTAGTCAACAACTGACGCATTTCCTCCTTCACAAGCCAGAAATAGAATTGCGGACATGTCAAGATTTTCTTCATTTGTTAGTTCAGCACCATGTTCAACTAAGTATTCAACTATTTCCAATGAACCAAACTTAACAGCATTGTGAATCACAGGTTTATTCCGCCGGTTTTCCCAGTTTACATTAGCACCATGTTCAACTAAATATTTGACAATTTCCAGTGAACCAGATGATGCTGCAGAGTGAAGAGGACTACCAAGGTTAAAGGATTCAAAATTTACATCAGCACCATGATGAACTAAATATTTGACAATTTCCAGTGAGCCAGATGATGCTGCAGAGTGAAGAGGACTACCAAAGAGAAGGGATTTAAAATTTACATTAGCACCATGTTCGATCAAATATTTTACAATTTCCAGTGAACCATGTGATGCTGCGTAGTGAAGAGGACTACCAACGTGAAAAAATTCAAAATTTACATCGGCACCATTTTCAACTAAATATTTGACAATTTCCATTGAACCAGATAATAATGCAGAGTGAACAGGACTACCGACGTTACGCTCTTCACAATTTACATCAGCACCATGTTCAACTAAATATTTGACAATTTCCAGTGAACCACATGATGCTGCAGAATGAAGAGGACTACCACGGATAAAGGATTCAAAATTTACATTAGCACCATGATCAACTAGATATTTGACAATTTCCAGTGAAGCATGTGATGCTGCAGAATGAAGAGGGCTACCAAGGATAAAGGATTCAAAATTTACATTACCACCATGATCAACTAGATATTTGACAATTTCCAGTGAACCAGATGATGCTGCAGAATGAAGAGGACTTCCAAGGATAAAGGATTCAAAATTTACGTTAACATCATGATCAACTAAATATTTGACAATTTCCAGTGAACCAGGTGATGCTGCAAAGTGAAGAGGATTATTACAGTGAAAGGATTCAAAATTTACGTCAGCACCATGTTCAACTAAGTATTTGATAATTTCCAGTGAACCACGTGATGCTGCAGAGTGAAGAGGACTACCAACGTCAAAAAATTCAGAATTTATATTAACACCATTTTCAACTAAATATTTGACAATTTCCATTGAACCAGATGATAATGCAGAGTGAAGAGGATTACCGACGTTACGCTCTTCACAATTTACATCAGCACCATGCTCAACTAAATATTTGACAATTTCCAGTGAACCAGATGATACTGCTGAGTGAAGAGGACTACCAAAGCGAAGCGATTCAAAGTTTACATCGGCACGATGATAGACTAATTGTTTGACAATTTCCAGTGAACCATATGATGCTGAAGATTGATGAGAGCCTCGTTTAGAATTATATTTACAATTTACATTAGCACCATGTTCAACTAAATATTTGACAATTTCCAGTGAACTAGATGTTGCTGCGGAGTGAAGAGGGATACCAACCCAACAATTTTCAAAATTTACATCAGCACCATTATCAATTAAATATTTGACAATTTGCAGTAAACCAGATGATGATGCAGAGTGAAGAGGACTACCAAAGAGGTGGCATTCAAAATTTACATTCGAACCATGTTCAACTAAATATTTGACAATTTTCAGGGAACCACGTGATGCTGCAGAGTGAAGAGGACTGATATCGTAATACTTTTCACTATTTACATCAGCACCATGATCAACTAGCCGTTTTACTTCATGAAAATTTTCTGTTTTTACTGCGACCAGAAGTTTCGACATATTTATATACCTGTAAAAACAAAGGTAATTATGCAATGAATGGACGTGTGACTTTTTTTGTTTATAGATCATTACGACACTAATAACACTGGTATCTTAATCGGTATATTGGTGTTATAGCAAATTGTGAATCAGATGTAATATTTTAATTTCTGATACTACTATGCTTCAATGTTATACTTCGGATTATTGTTTGGAATGCTCTATTGGTCGATGGCGTGGTTGATGTCGATAGAAAATTCTAACAGTCTTAATCACTCAGGTGTATAGAAATCAATGGTCGTCAAGGATTATTACTGTCCTATATTATATTCACATTTTTTCACGTTACAGGTTGTTATTTTATATTATTGGTAATCAATATTTTACCATTGTTATTTTTCTAAAAAATACAGTAACCAAGCAACTAACTAATAATCAGTGGCGTGCTGGCAGGGGGGGCCGGGGGGCCACGGCCCCCCCCAGCTGGCAATTTTTGGGGGGCGCAAAAATGAAAAGGGGGCGCCGATTCCGCGCCGAATTTTGAAAGTAGGTGGGAAGAAACGCATTCGAAAAAATATAGTTGCTAATTCCGCCAAGGAAAGATGTGTTTATTGACTTATAAACAGACTAAGCGCATAGGCGACAAAGTGAGTATATTAAATTGCAGACTATTTTGTCTAACCGTATTTGCTACCTAACGACTCACACGAAATCACTCGTTCATATAGAAACATGATCAGTAATCACACGCAATGTGATCTTACCGGAATATTGATCAGGCTTCGAAGCGATCACGGGAATTATGCTCTTTTTTGCTGGTATTATACCCTTATATTATGCCCTTTATTATGCTTCACGAATCACGAGAGCGGCGCAAATTAGATAGTTGAAGTTATGACAATGTACAGTTGTGCATACAATTTAGTTGTTTGCGCAAGAAACATTATGAGTAATGTAAGTAATCAGATAATGATGAAACACGCCCTTTTGGCAGCCAGGCAAGGAAACCTTAAAATGCATATGTGTGGGGTCCGTGTGTTATTGTATAAAAAAGCTGTAAGTTGTAAATGTATTCAGATCACTAGAGAATAAAATTGAGATTAGATTAATTGCTGGAAGTAGTTAGCATTGCCCAATTTAATAGTGCTGCTACCAAATTCTAACCAATTTTCAAATTTCGACACGTTGTAATGCCGTTTCCTGACCATCAGATTTCTGTCAAATCTTTTCCCAAAGTCCAGGAAATGGCATTTCAGAGACTCTAGATTCAAAAATTTTCCTGGGGGGCATGCCCCCGGACCCCCCTAGAACAACCTCGCACCTGCGGCGCTCGGCTCGTGCCTTCGGTCCTCGTTTATCAAGAGTAATATTATAGGGGCGCATATTAGTTGCCAGCCGACTGGCCCCCCCAGAAAAATAGTACCCAGCACGCCACTGCTAATAATAAAATTATACTGTAACTAAAACTTGGTTTCCATCACGTCCTGAATATACTATAATGTTCCAACTATTAAACTAAGATATTTATTCGAACAACAATAAAATAAACTGTACTAATTAATTAATTAATTATAGAAAGAAATGGGGCAAATACTTAATTACATTTAGTTTTCTGATACTATCTGCACGTTTATTTTCATCTCGAATATTAACAGCAACATTTAAATATTTCATTAACAATCTCAGCATATTAGGGGAAGGTGAACAGCGGGCTTATTAAGATTGGGGAATAATTGTAGAATTGAAATACGTTTATTCCGATTTCTGTTCAATTTTTGTAGAACAGATTAATTATGATAAGTTTGGCTAATGAGCACTTGTATAGATTTTTTTTTCGTTACTGTGATAAAATTATAATTCTATCCCTTTGTTAAAATGTGCCGGAAACCGTGTATTATATAGGCTCAAGAATAAAACCTTTCTGGTGGTTCATGCCCTAAGGCTTTCCTTAATGGAGAGCCTGTCTTTTTATAAATTCAGGACTACATCAATGTGTTGTTATTACTTCTCAAATTCTATCCAGTATACCATTTGAACATTATTTTTCAGAATGTTTGAAATGATTTCAGGACAGTGACAGGCAACGGCTTTCAAAGCATATTCCAGCGCTTGCCCTTTGCTTGCTGTTGTCTATTTTGTCCTCCACCGCGTAAATTATTGTCAGTTAGTATTCCAATATTCAGTTCAATGCCATTCAGTACTCTTCGCTTTCGTCAATATTGCCAAATACATGGTTGTGTTTGAAACGTAGGCGTTCCAAAAATATACATGCATTCCCTCTTTTTTTACCTGAAACGTGTTTTCATGGTTACAGGTCGGTAAAAATTGATCGTTTTTTTTTCATAAAGCACAAACACTTGCATGCATCAATTATGTTATAATGAAATCTTGATTTTAATTTCCAACATTCGGTATCGTTGAGTAGTTTTGAGAGTCGAATTAGATTTAATTGGGTTACTATTTCGTTCTTTAAATGTGCTGGGCCTTGTATACTATAGGCTCTTTGTCATTCATAGTTCCTAAAGTGGGCATGTATTCTTATTCCTACAGTTGCAACTGTTTGTGTCTTTGCTTCTGTATGTTTTTCCTAATTATGTTTTTCCTAATAATTCCGTACATCAAGAAGTTTGAAGGTGTTTACTCTTTCTATTTCATTTCCGTCTGTTTGTATGGGTGGAGGTTCAGGAGAAGATTGGGAAACACTGATCCACTGCATGTCCCTTGTTTTCTTTGGATTTATCGCCATTTTATTATCATTGGCCCAATTCGTCACTTGGTTTGTCGACTCCTGCAGTATGTTTGAGAGGGCTCCGTTTGCAACAACTTCATCAATGGTGCAGTCATCCGCGTATACTTGTGCGTACTTGTAGGCAGGGACGCCGGAACTGGGGGGCGGCTGCCCCCCCTGCCTTTTGCTAGGGGGGCAGGGGAGGCAGGGGGGGCAGAAGTGCCCTTTTAGTTGTAAAATTCTATGTGATAAATCACATTTCCAACGATGCATGAGATTCAGGCAATTTATAGTTTATATTTGACTTTTGGTATGTCCGGAAAAAATTTTTGACCCCTAAAATGGTACACTGACCGAAATTTTTTTGGCGACGGCGGGGGGGGGGGGGAGGGGAGGTCGCTCAAAACTTTCTATTGAAAAAAAATTTTTCGGTAGATTTTGAAGTTTTGCTCTATATATGTGCCCTTGGTGCGCGTCCGCCCCCCTTTGCCTTATCATCGTTCCGGCGTCCCTGCTTGTAGGGTTGTTCTTTGTTAAAGTAATGTAAAGTAATGTAAAGTAATGTAAAAAAATGCTAATTGATTTTTGGAAGAAGAAAACAGAAATACCACTGATTAATATTGGCGACGATAAAATATCCCGTGTAAAGTCGTATAAATTGTTAGGAATATGGATAGACGATGACATGAGATGCAAAACCAACATTGAGTACACTGTAAAAAAAGGCGCTAAGAGACTTTATGTCTTGAAGATTTTAAGGAGTTATGGTGCACCAAAAAATGACCTATTAGCTTTCTATTGTACAGTAATTCGTTCTGTTCTAGAGTATGGTGCACAAATCTGGAGTGGTGGTCTGACACAAATGCATAACAAAAACATAGAAAGAATCCAAAAACGAGCCCTCCGAATAATTTATCCTGACCTTTGTGATTATGGACTTCTATTATCTCAGAGCAATCTGCTGACCTTGGAAGAACGCAGAAACAATTTATGTGCCTCCTTAATTGAGGACATGTTACAACCATCACACAGACTTCACGGACTATTGCCAAAGAAACTGAGTGACATTAGGGAAAGAGAGACTAGGACAAATGGACAAATTTATACACTAAACGTTTTAGAAACAGCCCTGTAGTTCATGCTATCAATGAATATAATTTTAAATTAGATAAGTAAGATTTATATACATATTTATACAATTCCATATGTATAAATAAACGATTTTAATATACATATAGGTCCATTGATGTAAATAGTTTAAATAAGTAATAATTCTAAGTAATTCTAATTAGTATCTGACGATGTAAGCACGCTGTAATTTAGCTTTTTGCTATTGAACGTGTATTAATAAACGCACTATTATTATTATTACACTATTATTATAAAGTGTCTTCCAAATCATTTGTAGGAATATTGAATAGAGTTGGGAAAATGGCGGAGCCTTTGCGGAATGCCAGCTGGGCATGGGGCACTTGAAGACGATAACACCGTATAAAATAATTAATCCACTTGTTGGGTTCCCTCCGTAAGAAAGCACTTCATCCATGTCCAGAAAGTCGGGGGCGGTATTGTGTATAAAAATCTGTAATGATCCACTTACAATCTAAAATTAGATGTGTCCCAACAACTTCTGAAAGTGATTGTACCTAGCCTCCAATTATAACCGCCCGGCTACAATACAAACCGAGCGAATTTGAGAGCGGCAGCACTCTCAACTTAACAAGCAAAATCGACTGGTATGAGACATTAAAATAATAAAGTAGGGTGCATTACAATGCAAATATGGTGACAAAGTTTAGTTTTCATTTGTAAAGCCCCAGCGAGTTTGGGGGCCATAGAGGCTCTTATTTTGTTCTAGGATTCTATGGTCGCCAAGGTCAAAAGTTTCAGTTTTTTTTAATCCAAGAAAGTAATATTTCCGGTATAATTGTCACTGTCTTTTGACAACTAAACGTCATTTTGTATGACAAAGCATTATTTGTTGAAGGTGTTTAATACAAATGAAATATTGTGTGCCGGTGTCACAGGAGATTCGCCCCCCCCCCTCCCAGGAAATTCGCCCCCTTTCCAAAGGGGGGCGATATTCCTAGGATATTCGCTCCCCCCCGGGGCGAATCTCCTAGGAATATCGCCCCCCAGAATATCGCCCACCTTTAGGAGTGTGCCCCCCCGCCCATATAAATTTTGAATTTTTGATCTAAAAACAAAACGATTGCAAGTTGAAAAGATTTATTGTGTGATTTATTTATTTATTACAAGGAAACAAAATTACATACACATTTTAGGCTTC